AGAAAAGGACTCTGTGCATCCCTTGTGTTCTAATTTCTCCCTTACAAGTTCTTATCTTTCTAAAAAAATCTGTGACTAAGTAACTGAGTTCATTGGGGCTTACTTCTAGATAAACAAGTGAAAAATTCAGTCCTTCATCTCCATTAGGCCCATTTCCCCACAAATGTATTAAATTATTCAAATTACCTCTGGTTGATGAATGTGGGATACTGAGCTTTTGCATCCATGAGTCAAAATGCCAGGAAATGGCTGTTATAGCTGCACAATACAGTATTGTGCTTATGATGCCAGCAGGAAAAAGGATGCCAAGCTGTACATAGCAAAGAACAGCTTAAATGTTGACAATGCCAGTGGCAGCAGTCAAGATGGTCTAGAAGATGCCCTCTTCTCCTCACCACTACCATTCATACCTGTTGAAAAACAGCCATGGCAACATCTTTGTCTTTGGGTGAGAAGTCAAAAAGGAGTCAGCTTCTGGGTTTTTCCCTTGCTTGGTGTCACTTTGTGAATGATAAGCTTTGCTATGTACTTACTTTGATAAGTGCTACTATGTAAAGCTTGGCAATGTTGCTTGCAGCAACATTAGACTGTTTCCTGGAGCTTTGAATTTTGGATACAGAAGCACAATATCTCACATTCATAAACTGGGGTTTTTTAAAGAATGGAATTGTATCTAAAGTACCTACATGTCTCATGGAAATAAACCAGTGGCCAATGGAAAAAAAACCATCTGAAGTGGAGTAAAACATGGCTGTGTCCTTGCGCCGACCCTGTTTGGGATCTTTTTTGCTGTCATGCTGAAGCATGCCTTTGGAACTGCAACAGAAGGTGTCTATCTCTGGACTAGATCAGATGGAAAGCTCTTTAATCTCACTAGATTGAAAGCAAAGACCAAAGTCCAGCTGAAATGCATGTGGGACTTCCTCTTCACCAATGATGCAGCCATTGTTGCCCACTCTGCTGAAGACCTCCAACAACACATGAATCATTTCAGCAAGGCCTGCCAAGACTTTGGACTAACAATCAGCCTGAAGAAAAGAAAAGTCATGGGCCAGGATGTGGACTCACCTCCCTCTATTACCAACTCCACGCAGGAATTGGAGGTTGTTCATGACTTTGTGTACCTTGGCTCAGTGATCTCTGACACTCTCTCCCTAGATGTTGAGCTGGATAAATGTATTGACAAAGCAGCTACCATGTTCTCTAGACTCACAAAGAGTATGGCTTAATAAGAAGCTGATGGCATACATCAAGATCCAGGGCTATAGAGCCTGTGTCCTGAGCACACTCCTGTACTGCAGTGAGTCCTGGACCCTTCGTGCACGGCAGCAGAGGAAGCTGAACACCTTCCATATGCGTTGTCTCTGACGCATTTTTGGTATCACCTGGCAGGACAAAGTTCCAAATACAGTAGTCCTAGAATGAGCTGGAATTTTTAGCATGTATACATTATTGAAACAGCACCGTCTACATTGGCTTGGGCATGTTGTGAGAATGGCTGATGGTCAGATTCCAAAAAATCTCCTGTATGGAGAATTAGTGCAGGGAAATCGCGCCAGAGGGAGACCACAGCTGTGATACAAGGATATCTGCAAGCAGGATCTGAAGGCCTTAGGAATGGACCTCAACAGATGGGAAACCTTGACATCTGAGCGTTCAGCCTGGAGGCAGGCAGTGCATCACGGCCTCTCCCAATTTGAAGAGGCCCTTGTCCAGCAGGCAGTCCCGAAACCAGCAGACTCAGGGAGCTGGACCGGGGACAGACTGTATTCGTCTTCAGTGTGGGAGGGATTGTCACTCTCGAATTGGCCTTCTGAGCCACACTAGATGCTGTTCCAAGTCCTCTGTTCAGAGCTCGTTACCATAATCTCTCAAGACTGAAGTATGCCTGATCTAATCTAAAATCTAAAGACTAGCCTGCTGCTGGCTGTGCACTATTTTCTTGACTTGTCTTCAATACTGTTCCCTACACAAACACTTCCCTCCCATTTGCCCTCTTTGCCACAAAGGAAGCTGCCCATATGCAAAAGGAGATTTCTTACACACCAGTTTCAGACTGGGACATGAACAAATGCATGTAAGCTGGGAACTGTCATGGTCAAACCACACTTCAGCCTTGCAAATGCAAATACAAGTTTTGGTCCCTGCAGGAGGAAAAGCCAGTCTGAGAATGCTGTTGGATTTTTTTTTCAACCACGGATGCTGCCTTCAGTAGGGAGCTGGACTGCGGACAGTTTGTATTTGTCTTGAGCATGGAAGGGATTGTCACTCTCGAATTGGCCTTCTCAGCCACACTAGATAGTGTTCCAAGTCCTCCATACCAAGCACGTTACCATAGTCTCTGGAGACTGAAAGATGCCTACTACTAGCCATCTGGTGGCTCAGTAAGCAATACTGCAACACCGGAAGGATAAATGTTCATCTTCTACTAATAAATGTATGAGGACTGTGTAATTTTTTAAAATAACTTTCAAATGTGTGTTAAGTGGACAACAATTGCATGTGGATGGTTATCTGAATATTTAGTCATCTTTATTCATATGTTTATTTTGTTAGATTTTTGGGACTTTTCTCCTTTCCTTTTTATAGCTGTTGTTTCTCTTGTTCTCTTCCTCCTCCTTTTGTTTTAGTGCTTCTGTCTGTTTATGTGCTCCTCTTTTATAGCAGCATTTGTTTTAAATGATTTAAGCACAAAAAAGGAAACCCATCTGCTAAATGAAGAAACATTTAAGAATATGTGCATTTATGGTTAAATATTAGCTATCAATGGCTTCTTGTCCATAACAATAAGAATCACATCCATTCTATTTAATCTGTTTAAAATGTTATTTTTAGGGGAGGGGAATCATGTTTATTTCCAGGGTGTGTTTATTTGTTGCCGAGCAGTCAGTGCAAGCAACACACACCGACAGAGTAAATTATTATGATGCAAAATGATACAGACAGTTGCTGTGTGTAGGTGGGGATGGAAAGACTGGTGCAGATCAGTGGCAACTGTAATAGAACAGGCTGTAAACTGAGACACGATGCTTTAGAAGAGACAGCTTTCTCAAACTGACAGTTTCCAAATATGTTGGGCCTCTACCATCCCTAGCTAACATGTAAATTATGGGGGAAAGCTGGGTTTCTCAACTGGGGAAAAAGTGCTAGATTGGGAACACAATTTTAAAACAACAAAAAGAGCACTTTTGAAAGAGCCAATGGCATGTGTACTGCTAATGGTCTACAGTAACAACCCACATGCCGTTCTCTGTACAGTAAATCTCACAATTAAAGAATGAGTTAATTAACACCAACTCAACAAACCAAATGTCTTCATTTCCCATTGTTAACAACAACAAATTCTTAACAGGTAAATGTTTCAATTTACCTGTGTTCCCCAGCAACTGGAATTCACGTGCCATCACGGCCAGTGTATAATTGTTACGGTCAGTAGCCTCGGGCAGCCCCACGCTGTATTTCTGTCCTAATCTCTCTCTAAAGCTGCCCAACTTGTCTCAGACATAAAGCTGTCTTCATTTGGAAGGACGGGACAGTGAGATGTTGGGTGGATTAATAGACATGCTAGACATCTAGCATATTCTGTTGTCAGGCTCCTGCATTGTTTTCCATTTAAAAAGCTTTGGCTGGCTTGCTTAATGGGCTTTAGCTCAGCGTCAGTGGCTGGCAGCTGTGTTGGAATTCACATTGACAAAGGTTAAACAGTATATTGCAGTACTTGTGCTGAAGGGGGTCTATTAATAAATAAACTGAGCTGTGACTGGACTTTAAACATGCCAGAGGAGGTCAGCAATAAAGCAGTCGATAATATGCTTTTGTCTTGTTGCCCAGTATGTTATGTAGATCACATGTCTTGGGCCAGATAAGACATTGAAACTAATTACACAAGGCAGGCATGGAAACCTTATCAGAGCCTCTTGCACTTCGGGAGAAACTTCAGGAACTGAACTGGGGGAGCAAGGATGGACTATAAAACACATCAGGTGGAGGAGGCAGAGGCGGAGGAGATGGCTTGTCCTGGTAACAGGAACGAGCACAGCAAGAAAGTGTTTCTGGGAAACAACTGCCAAACTCAATGTCCACTGGATGTAGGAGAATACAGTAAAGTGAAACATAAGGTGGACAATCCAGGAATATTGTTGCTTACGGACTGAGGGCTAGGTATAAAAGCTGTTTTTGGATTAAGGTTATTGTGGTCTTACTTTTAAAAAAGGTGCACCATTTCAGGATGTTACCAGAGTTACTCCCAAATGGCAAGTTGGCAGTGGCTAAGAACACTTTGCACCAAGCGAGGCTGGTAAAGAGCATGAGTTAGGGTTCAAAATTAATCACTTTGCCTAAGAAGCTAGACTTGGATAATGTCAGTTACATTTTAGTATCATCCAGACAAGAGACTACTATAATATGTATTGTATGGGCCTGTCTTTGAAGAGAGCTCAAAACCTACAAAAAGGTTAAAGGTAGGTTGCTGTCAAAGTATCAACTGGAGTTGCCATACAAAACCGAAATAGTGCATCATTATGGGCTGCCTATTTGGTTCCTGGGCCACTTCAAAGTGCTTATTCTGACCTTTTAAAGCACAAAAGGCATCTGGAGCTAGAATCTCTCTAGGATAATCTCCCACATCATTTGATCCAGCCACTTAGGTAGCACATCAGAGGCTAGCACTAGGTCTGTCAGCTACTGGAAGTTGGGCAAGTATGTGACGCTGGATTCTTTAAATCATGGAAGATAATCCCTTCCCAAAAGGAGAATTTCTTGGCCTGATTTCTTTCCCTCCGACTCTTAGAGGCCAATGAAAGCACAGCAGTTTTGAAGAGCTTTATGAGCTAAATAGAGATTGGTTATTCTGCAGAACTGCTACTCTGAATGATGTATTTCTTTGGGTCCCCCCCCCAATTCTTCTCCCTATTTTGGTTTGGTTTTAGACAATTGGGATTCTTCTAAATCTAACCCTAATATACATTTATCTCACTTACCTCCACTCTTCTGCCAAGCAGATCCATGATCTTGGATGCACCACATGGGAGGAAATACGACAGAAGGAATGGCAAAAGCAGTTTCTGCACATGAGCCATTGCTTGAGGATAATTTCTGGGAATTATGCCATTGAGCCATGTCAACTGGCTTTGTGAATCATCTTGGCTGTTTCCTTCCTGCAGTTCTCCTTGGATATCTTCTGTTGCACATAAACATGGCTACAGTAAAAATATACAGTATGTGCATATTTATATTTATAAAAATAGAGATTGCCATGGCAGAAAGTGTATATTAAATGTAGAGGTATGTTGCAATATTTCCATGATAATGGTGTTATATTAATTATAATTTTAAATAGCTGGATACAATGTACATTTATAGAGTTAAATCTGTGTGTGTGTATAACATAACTGAGCTGTTCCTTCCTTTATTGTTATTATATAGTCCCTGAAGAAGGCCCAAAATGGTAAACAAAAACAAGAAACAAAAAACCAAACCTCATTGGGCTGAAACAAGTTGGAATTGTTTTTGTTTATGCTTTAAAAAGACCATCTACAAAATAAAGTGTTCACCCTGCTAACTTTCATTACCCCCAGGATGTGTTCCCTGAGGAGGTTGCTTTATTCTGCCTCATGGTAGTGTTGCCCAGCTAGGATGTTCTCAAACCACAGTGCTATCTGCTGTGGGAATTTCAGGTCTAGGGTGGGTCAAAGTGAGTAAATGAATTCTTAACTGGTGTGACTAAAAATCATCAGGATTTATAATTCATTCTTCAAAGGATCCACACAGACTGACTTCTAAATAAAAATTTTCAATAATCCTAGCCTATTTCACAAACTAGGCAAATTTTAAAGTAAACAAGTCACAAATTTGTGTGTGTGTGGCGGAAGAGATTTGTCTCGAATGTACATTTGAAATGGTCTGTTTTAATTCCCATGCCTAATAAAAAGGCTACAGATAAATAATTGCCTCTGTTCAGGAAGCACTCATTGTTGTGTTGCATTTTGTTCTGCCTCTTGTGTTGTCCTTGAGAAAGGAACATGTAATGCAAGTTCACATGGAAGCTAGCTTAGACATCTATGAAAATTTAAGGCGAAATAGTGCCCACTCCAAAACTATATTTGTAACAGGAGATCAGTTTGCTTCATGTAAATGTTTCTTTTATTATATTGATGCAGATGTGTGTCTCTCCCACAAATGAAAATACAGTACTTTTTCATAAACACTGTTTCATTCTTTCAAGAATACTGTACAGTGAGGCTCACAGCACTCAGATGAGTTTACTGATGAGTTCAATGACGTTTTGGAGGAATCTGGCTTGAACATTTCCTCACATGTTTCAGCATGAAAAGTAGTGAGCTGTTCTGCTTGTAGACCATGGGGGTGGCACTTCTCTGCTCTTCCTAATGCATGTGATGTCTTTATATTACAGAATGGGGGGGGAGGGAAGGCGGCATGAACACTTCTCATGTACATGGCAGTTGTTGAAGCAGTTGTTGCCACTGTAATGGCAACTTGCATATATGGACTAGCCAAATCATATTTCACAATATAAGCATTTTTTTCATAATGCATGATGTTGACTTCAAACTCATTGCTTTTTAGTGGAGTCATTTCATGCATTCCATTGATAATCATCAACCATCCAAGTACCTGTTCAACCATTCACTCTTAAGCTGACTAAGCTCTTAAATCATAGGTGAACAAATCCTAGACATGGGGATCAACCCTGATCCTATGGTGCCTCCACAGTTTGGTGGTTGCTGAGATTCTAATTTGCCAGTGTCCAGTGGCACCTGCAGTACATCCCTATGGTGCAAAAGGGTGCCAGTCTGATCTCGTACCATAGAGAAGAGTAACTTGCAGGACAGAGCATCTCATTTCCTTCCTAGAAAGAAGTGACAGCCAAGAAGATAATTTCTTTACACTTTGGTAAGGAATGAGATTTTAATAGAGCTTGGAAACCTTACTTTTTTTTAAAAAAGCTCAACATCCAGGATCTCCTAGTGAGCATGGCTACTGACCATATTTGACAGGGAGTTTCAAGATGTAATTCAAGAAAATGGGAGGTGATAAATTGTTGTACTTCATAAATATAGCGTCACTCTGCTTGATGGCCATGCTTCCAACACCACATTTCAAGTGAATCAGTTTTTCCCCAACCTCCATCAATTTTAGTCATGACTAGCTTTAAACCTGTACACAGTAAGCAGATATACCATAGGCTGAACAACCTTGGCCTTCAGGATCTTTTCTTGTTTCTTCATAGCTGGTCATCCAAGCCTCTGACTTCTTCTGATTTCACAGCCACAGCCCCTATTTGGATTCATGTCTGAACCAAGATACAGAATATCTTCAACAATATCAGTTTCTTCATCAGCATCAGAAATTATGAAATTTTTCTGAAGTTATTGTTTTTGTCTTCTTGATGGTAATGAAATTGGTACATATATTCATTTGTGGTGGGAGTGTGAAAGGGTACAAAAATTTTGGAAACTAATTACTAAGGAATTAAGAGATATTTTTGATAGAGATATAAAGTTGAATCCAGAAATGGCCTTGTTATCAATATTTGATACTGAAGATTATGATGATGCAACTAGAGAATTCCTTACTAATTTATTGTTTGCTGTGAAATTAATTATAGTTAGGAATTGGAAATCTAAACATGAATTTCAACTGAAAGAATGGTACAATGAAATTTGGAATCTTGCTGTAAATGATACATCGACTTGTATTCTAAAAGTTAAGAAAGGTGAGATTAAAAAGAAGACTTTTTATATGGGGTAGATTTATTGAATTTGTGTTAATAAGAGAAAAAGGTAAAGTCCCAACACAAAGATCAATGCAATTCTGGAAAGGAGGACAATGAGAAGAAGAGTTCTTCAGAAGGTCCCGATAGTGGTAGGGAGCACAATTATTATAGTTTGTATCTCCTATCTTGTATTAGTTAATAAAAAAAGTTTTAAAAAGAATCATCAACTTCACCATTTTCTCTCCACAGAATTTGAACCAATAGCTTTAGTGTCTTCTGTTCCTGAAGTATCTTCAGTGTCTTCTGTTCAGTCAGTGTTCAAAGGTCACGTAATTACCATCAGTTGGCATACTTCAAGGACACTCAAAACAATGTCACAAAAATATTTGTGTTGACAGTGAACATTGCCAAAAACAGTCCACACAATGTTTATCTCTGAGCACCACACAAGGTTGAGTTTCAGAAGACATATGCCAACTATCTTTTTATTTTTATTTTTATTCTTTGTCTACTTAGTATACAAAGCACAGGGGCTGACTAGTTTGTTTCTTTGAAGTTGCTTTCTTCCAAATATATTGCAAATGTAAACTACTTTTTAGTTATGCTTGTTAGCTGTGCAGTGTGAGGCCTTTGATGTCAGTTTGCCTGTAGTACATAAAAACCATTTTACATTGCAACATCAGAATAAAACGTGGTGCAGATTTTATTTTATAGGCTGCCTTTTTGGACAGTGTCCTCTGCAGGCAATGAGTACCAATACAAAAAGTACAACAGAGCTCACATTTGGGGTTCAAATTCGTTGTTCAAGTTCAAACCCCAATTTGTCCTTATACATACCTTTTCAAAGTTCTGGGAGTGGGAATAAAAATTCAAAATATATTGCACACCAAGCTAGAAAACAGAAATAGCAGAATGAAAGCTGATGAAAATATTGAGGACAGAACTGTTACGTTTCAATTTTGCGTATCCGGACAGCCCTTCTGCGTTTTTCTATGGGAGGGCAGCAAAATATAAAAAAACATAAAGCACAGTGATGTCTACCCTGAAGACTAAACACTCAAGAAATATTGCTTCCTTTGGGAAATATTTCTGCCTCAGTGTCTGCACCTATTTTTTTACAGAGGGTGGGAAAGAAAAGTGCAATGAGATATCGATAACTAGACATTTTAGGGCTGATGGGGGCTTATACTGTAACTGTATTGCTTCCTTCCCATCCTTCCCATTCCTTCCCATCCTAATATGGAATACCAGTTTCCTATCCTTTTTCTACATAGTGGCAAAGGCAGTTTCATAGCAGTGAGGAAGTTGTTTCAAAAAGCGTCTGTCAGTGATCAGAGTCAAGTTGCTTTTCAATGGCAAAACTTCAACTTTAGTGTTAAAATCTGTGCAGAATGTCCCAGGGAAGTTGGATAGAGAAAACAAATTCCAGTGCCTCTGAAATCTCCTACATCACTTTGGGGGGGCGTTGAAGCCAAACCCTGCTGATAAAATCAGTTTCCTGCACCCAGAGACATATGGGAAGAAGTAGGAGCTAATTGTGAAAAACTGAAAGCATTTATCTCAAATTTGTGACCACTCTTTGACTACCATCCTGACCCTTCAGGTTAACATCAAGGAAAGTCCCCCCCCCCCAGAACATCTATGAATCTTGAAAGAACAGCAGAGAATACTGGGATTATAACTTGGAAAGAAAGAACTGCTCGAGTCTTAAAATGGGTGAAATCCCAGGAAAGTCTAGACCCCCTCACTCAGACAGGAAAGTGAATTACTTGGAGGTCACTATGGCCTGGGGTTGGCAGAACAAAAGTGAATCTAAGAAAATGAGGTTCTTGCACTGACAGGGTTCTTTGTGAGTCGAAAAGAAAAGGCAGCTTCACGCCTATGTCAGTGTGCTCTGTTCTCCTCAAAATATACTATGGAAGAGTTTATGTCAGCTGCCCCAAATGCTCTTGATGTTGCTCATTACTGAGCAAAAATGATGTGATATATTTTGTAATTGTATTGTGGTACTTTGACACTAAGAAATTAAGAAAGAAAAGAGCAAATAGTTGAAGGCTTTTAATCCAGTTTGAAGAATTTGACATATGCTGTTTCTGTTCCAAAGGAATGAAATCCTTACCGCTGGGGGGCTTTAGAATGACTGGACGGATATCCTGAGCTCTTCCAGCTCATTAGCACTTACCGTCCAGTGATATATTGGCCAGAATGTAATCAGATGGCAAACTGAGCAGAAAGATAGAATAAAATGATGTTTTATTCAGCTTTTATAATTCTAAGCATTCTGGAAAGAGTTCATAAAATCCCTTCAGAGGATTCTGATGTAAGAGAAGCAGTTTTTAATGAGCCCGTAACATAGATGCTACAGACTGATTAGAGCAAGCATGAATGCATCTTGAAGACTCTAAAGGAGGTTAATCTAATCATGCAAATACTTCCCCCCTCCTTTTGCCTCATGAGCAATCTTTACTCACACCATTCATACTGTTGACGTCAATGGAACTGCTTGCAGGAGACGAGATTACCGGCATGATGCAAGGTTTGTGTCAGGTTATGGCCTTGGTGACCTTAATCTGCTACAATGATGTCACATTCATCCTGTATCTTCTTCCGCTTCCCTTCCCTTCCCTGGTCTTGGTGTTGTTCATTCTAAGAAAGTGTCAAATTCATGCTTAATATTCTCATATGTTCACCTGGTTCAGACTATTGTTTCAGGGGTAAGAAATGCATAAACAGAACACGAAATGTAATTTTTTTAAGGAACTTGGAGAAAATAGTTATCATCATCTTCATCTTAGAGTTGCAGAGTTGGAAGGGACTCTATGGATCATCAAATCTCCATCAAGGAGGCAAGTGGAATTGAGCTCCCACGCTCTGGCTCTGCACATTGTCCTTTCCAAGTTGCCATAAAAATCCGAGAAAATGCTATCTGCTTCCCTCTGGTTGTCAATTCTGATACTGTATCTTGAAGATACTGATATTGTATCTTGCAGCTGCTGGCAAAAAGTTAACTACTGCACTGATGTTGCCTGGAGGATGATAATAAAGGGACGTGCAGTTCTTTCTGGGGGAAATGGGTTATATAATCATTTGACTCAGCATTTCCAACCATGTGTGCCTTTTACAAAGAAATCATTTTCAAGCAGCTCCTCTTTATCTGGGACGTGTTGGCGCTGTGGGCTGAACCGCAGAAGCCTGTGCTGCGGGGTCAGAAGACCAGTAGTCGTAAGATCGACTCCACGCGACGGAGTGAGCTCCTGTCACTTGTCCCAGCTCCCGCCAACCTAGCGGTTCGAAAGCATGTAAATGCGAGTAGATAAATAGGGACCACCTCGGTGGGAAGATAACAGCGTTCCATGTCTAAGTCGCACTGGCCATGTGACCACGGAAGATTGTCTTCGGACAAACGCTGGCTCTATGGCTTGGAAACGGGGATGAGCACCGCCCCCTAGAGTCGAACACGACTGGACAAAATTGTCAAGGGGAACCTTTACCTTTACCCCTCTTTAAGATTTCCTGAGGATCTATGTATGTGGGTGTGTTTGCATGTTTATTGCTTCTCAGGGCTCTTGCTATTCAAGCCAATAGGTGCAATGGCTTTGCCTGCAAGGACTACAATGTCTGAATTTGCTTTTAAATCCTTGAAATGGACTTGTGGAATCTCACGCCCCAGGTGGTCTTCTGTGTTATCAGCAGAGTTGTGGGGAGGCATATTCTTCTTTGAATATGCTAACGTTCTAGTTTTTGAGATTTGGTTTGGTCCTGCATGCTCTTTGAAGTGTTCCTGAGAAAAATTCAGAACAGCCATCCCATTGGGATAAGTTTTTCCTATCCTGTATTGAACACCCATTCAACAGTTCCTTGCAAATAATTTCTTTACATTTCCCCCTCTTTACTTTCCAAAAATTGCTGCTGTCAGAAAAATCATCCCTCTGGTGGCATCTTCAGAAATTAAAGACTTTCTCTGTCCTGTGGCCCCCAGTGGCTTCCCCACAACTAAGAAGGACCTTTGGAAAATAGAATTGGAAACTTTTTATTTCTGAAAAATTTAGCTGCGGGAACAGGATGTCAGCCATTATGTTCAGCAAACTATGGTGTGTTATGGTGTACTGGAAACAGTTTTTCAGGGAGAGGGGGAGATCAGATCAGATTTTTCTAGTCAATATCAGCTGTGCATGGCCATTTCATCCTGTTTGTGCACTAATCTTTAGATTTTAAAAATCTGCTTTAAAATATCTCTACAAATAGAAATGTAATAGGATAGAAATATGAATCTGTAAATATATAAAAAAAATATATTTTTTCTTATGAATATGGATTTAAATTTGTATTTTCCTATGTAATTTTTTTAACAAAATATGTATTTATAAAATATTTTATCAAAATGTGTGAATTTCTAAATGCTTGTTATCTGAAGACATGCATTTTTTTATATTTTGCTTTTGGCTTTTTAGTTAAGAACTGCATTGCAGAATTAAAGGTGAAAAATCTGAAGGATGATTTTGCCCCAATACATTTATTTGGACTGGAGGTACAAATCAGGTTAGTTAGGAGCAGCATCCACCAAGAACAAATGATTCAGGCATCACATACAGGTCTACCCCTTATAATTATAAAGCTGATGAGGCTACTTGGTCATAGCTGCTTTTTTGGGTGCCGAGAGAAGAATGCCTTGAGCCACAGCTCACATAGTTTAGAGGAGACACACAAGGCGTTGGTTACAGGATTTAAGAGCCCAAAGCTATCCATTACACAAGATAGAATAAATACACTGCCAATGAAATCTATAAGGGCCTTTTTTTATCTTGGCTACAGAGGCTCTTGCTGTGTTTCTTCCAGGGTGCCCATTTATGTGTTCTTTTGGCATACAAGCAATTCTAAATTAATTGGAATGGAACAAAGCCTGGAGCCTGGAACTCTATTGGCTTGCCCTTCTTTCTTATTGTGCCCACCATGCCTTGTACTAAATTGCAGAGCCTTTGATTCAATTACCAGGCACTCTAGATATAAGGAGGGGGATATATGCAGTCTCTTAAGATGGAATTCACCCTTTTGTATTTGAAGTTGGCTAGAGAAGAATGTACCAGATACCCATTGAATAGAGTAATGGACTGGGACAAAGGAGGCCTGGGTTCAAATCCCTGCTCAGCCGTGGAAGCTCACTGGGGGTGTGGAACTGGCAAAACCATTCCTTCAATATCCCATTTACCTTGAGAACGCTATCAGGATAATAAGTTGGTTCTGACTCGACAGCAGACGACAACAATGATAACAACAACAACAACAGAGAATGACACAAAACAAAGGGAAAGAGTATGCCCTAATTATTAGCCTTAGGTGTATGCACTAGTACCAACATTTAGATTCAGAATTCAGAAATTACAGCCTTTCAGATTCAGAATTAAGAATTAGAAAATTGAGATTTTCCATATATCCAGAACTCCATTACAGGCCATGAATACTACATGGTCACTGTTTTCCCCTTTAAAAAACAGTCAGGCAAAGCATTTTTAAAGAATTTCTCAGTGTCCTTTGACACTTTCTCAATGACTGTGCCAAATAAAAGAGTGCGCACCAACAGCCAGCAGTTGCTAGGTATTAGGAAGTGACTGTCACGGGCATGCAG